TCACTTATAAGGAACTTTTGGAAAAGAAAAAATTCATCGTTGGTCCAAAAATTTATCGAGTAGCAAGTTAGTCTTCGGAATTTGAAAAAGAACAAATAGATTATCAACATTTATTATAGCTACACACTTAGCTCCTCAATTGAATCATGCTGCTCTGCCAAGCCTGTAAAAGGCCTTGCAGAGCAAATTGTGAGATGGGGATGGGTGTTTAAACATTTGGGGGGGGGGGTTTAATGAGGTGGGTCCACCTCATGTGAGTGCTCAACTATGCCAGGCCTATAACAGGCCTGGCATAAGAGCTTAATTCTCCTCAATTTGGGTGCCTAGCAAGTTGCAAAATTAACCAATTTCATAAATTTGGTAGTTAGATATGTGATGGGTACGTGACTATTTACTAGAGAGGTGATTTGTTTCAGAATTATCTGCGTATTTTATGATGAAAGGTCAAAAATCAAAAATTCTTATACGCATAAATTAAAATCAAATTTGCAATTTCTCCTCAAAACTTGTTTGTTTTGATACTTTTGAAAATACAATTTAGAAAACAATGTCAACCTTATAATATAAAACTCAAAACATATATTTTATGTTTTCAGTATTTTCAGTGGAAACATCAAACATTCAAACAAGGGAAATAAGTATTTAGATAAAAATGTTTTTAAAAAATAAAAAATATATAAAAATTCTAAAAAAATGAATTTTGAAATAATCAAATTTATGAAATAAAATGTCGTAAAATAATTTTCAAAACATAGTATTCTCCAATTTCTTATTTTGAAAAATAATTTTTTTTTTAAATTGACAAGTCAAAGGCATCTTCATTAATCTATTAGCATCCATTTGATTGATTTAAATTCCATGGAAAATGTCAAATCCGAGGAATTCAAATTCTATTTTAATTGTTTGATACGAAAGTAAAAATGGAGTTTGAATTCCAAAGTACAATCACATTAAACTTTTTTTATTTTCCAACTTACATGAAATTGGAAAGTCTTTTCATATTTGTCAATCAAACGAATCATTAGTAAAACGTCATTCAAAATGAACCCTCTTAAGCTTTAAGGGCCACTACTGTAACAACTGTCATGCATTAGTCTAGAATAGATGTGGGCAAATTTTTTTTTTGAAAAATCAATAAAATCGACCAAAAAAATAGATACGGGTCGATTTGAATCAGAAAAATTGATTTGATTCAATTAATTTTAACCATTAAAAAGATTGATGTTTTCCATATATTTATGATTTTGTTCCTTTAGGCATTATATTCTATCTACCTTCTCTACTCAAAATTAAAATATAACTTGCCTCATTGGTTAAATTATCGTAGAGGTTGAAAGTTGACTGGCAAATGGAAGTGTACTTCAATTACATAAATATTGTCGAGGCAATGAAGGTACGGACTGCTTCAATGTACCTCTCATATACATCGGCATTGTGGTGGCATCGTAAGCATGCCGAAATTGCAAAGGGAGCTTGCAAAATTGAAACTTGGATGAATTCGTGGAATGCAACAGGTTGTTTTGGACGCAAGTTGGTCAACTTGTGCAACTTGTTTATTTGATTCGATTAATTTTAACAATTAAAAATACAGGTAATCGAAACCAATCCATCAATTAATTTATCCAACTAGTTAATACGTATTTCTATTTTTTTTCTTTTTAAAATTTAGATTTTTAAACTTAAAAAAATAATAAAAATACAAATATAACTTTTTTACAAATAATTTTTAATCCAAAATAAGTATGTATTTAATTCAAACCAATGTTCAAACTGACTAACCAAATATTTGATTTGGTTGGATTCGATTTCAATAGTCGAATTGAATCGATTTGAATTGAAATTTACCAAAAGTGAACCATCGATTTCAATTTTGAATTGGGCTCAAAATCAACCCAACCCAAATCATGCATAAACCTAGTCTAGAACATCAAAATTTGAAGGTACTATGAAACAAAATAACTCGAAAAGAACATCAAAATCTAAAGGTACTATGAAACGAAACAACTCGAAACGATAACAATAATAATAAAGAATTTAAAGGATCAGATTCTTTCTTCTTGTCCTTTGCATGGCTCACTGCAGCACTTAGCTCCTCCACTTCGTCCCACGCAGCCGCGCACTCGCAGCGGACGGGGTCCTCGGCGCAGGCCTCCTCGGCAGTCTTAATGCTCTCCACCACCTTTTCCGACAGACCATCTGGCGCCGCCGCCGCCACAAGGCGGATGAATTGAGTGTTGCACCTCTTCTTCCATGGGAATGAGAAGTTGTTGATGGGCTTGATTTTTGGTGAATCTGATGCCTTGGCTAAGATTCTTGGGGTTGTGAGAGTTAAACCAGTTATAGATGCCATTGGAAAATTGCTTATAAGTTTATTTTGAAATTGAGAGAAATGTGATAATTTTGAGTAGATGAGAAGATATATAATTGGGATATGTAAATATGTAATGAATTTTGGACACAAATTTCTTATCATCTTTCTGCAAATCATAAACTGCCACGTTAGATGCATTAGAGATATTGTATAAAAAAATCTCCTTTTTGGGTAAGAAATCATAGATCTTTCTTGAGGATTTTATCAAGTCAATATATCAAAACTAGATTGTACTAGCCCCAGTTTGGTGGCCTTATAATTTTATAGACATAGTTTTGAATAGCATTTTTTTTTTAAAGAATGTTTTAGTTGAAAGGTAGAAAAAAAAAATTTAAATTTATGTGTAGAATGTTTTATTAATGTAAAGTGAGGGAAATCAAACAGGGGCTTAATGTATATATCATTTCATTTTGTGAAAATTGTAATTGGTTTGAGGGGGTTCATTACACTTGATATGTACCGACCGAGAAAAAAAAAATCTTGTTTTTTGTTAAAAAATAATTTTTCTTGTATAAATCGAAAAATAATTTAGATTATATTATT